AGTGTATTGCTCTTGGGTCAAGTATAATAGTTATTTTCTTCTATACCTAGTTTCTTTAATCTATTTCTCCCATATCTTTCATCGCAAATTTGGATGATGGCCATCCTTTACTTTGTTTAATGGCATTTCTATTATTACGAGATTAGATTATGTTATCTACATACAAGACCAAAACTGAACACCCCCCACGATCTTGAGTTTTCACACCATAGTCAGTACTGGCATTTTAAACTATAATCTATAAGAGCTTCTGGGAAATTTAAATACCGTTGTCTAGAAGATTGGCCCAATTCCTAAGAAAGATTTAATTTACTTATTATTTTTGGTTTCTTGACCTTCTTGAGAAAAACCTTCATTTGGTTCATATAGGATTTTGTCTTCCAACTCACCAGGGAACTCAATCTTGACATCCATTTAATAAACATCAAAATCGTAATTATTAGCTCTTTTCGACGCTATTCTTATGGATGATTTTCATGTAACTGGTAAGTCGGTCTCTTAGCAGTCAATAGCATCCTTTCACTTGTTTAGTGATCAATCATCATCACCATTATCAAAGCCTTTTTTCAACTATTTGGGGTCGGCTATACGAATGCTGGTCCAACATTCTGCTCTATCAAGGATTATACCTTCATTGAGGCCATAAGTCCCCATATCTTTTCTCATTACTTCCAACCATGTTCTTTTGGGCCTACCTCTTGCTCTTTTTTAGCCTTCCACTTAAACCAACTCGCACCTCCTAACATGTGCGGTACTAAGTTTGCACTGTACATGGCCAGCCGACCTAAGTCTACTTGCTTTTGTCTAATCACTTATTGGAGCCACACCTAAGTTCTCCCAAATGTATTTATTTCGAATTCTATCCTTTCTTGTCTTGCCACTCATCTATCTCTACATCCTCATCTTAGCTACACTCATCCTATGGGTATGTTGTTTCTCGACCGCCTAACATTCTACCCATAAAGCAAAGCTGGTCTCACAACTGTCTTATAGAACTTCCCCTTCCGCTTCATTACTATGCGGCGATCACATAAAACTATGATTGCACATCTCCACTTTGCCCACCCAGCTCTAATTCTATGTGGAACATCTTCTTCAATCTCTCCATTTCTTGGCCCAAGATATTTGAAAATGCGCTCTTTTTGGTATTTTTTAGCCATCAATTTTAACTACTTCCTCGTTTCTGTCTTTCTTTATATTTTGCAAATTTCCTTGCTCCATCTATTTTCTTAGAATGAACCCATTTACAACCAATTTCGTTTCTATCTCTAGGTAATTTGCAAAGACCCATTTATCTTTCTTTAAGGCTTCATGGTGTGGGTGAGTAGATTTCTTCTCCATCGGTTTAAGGTACATTTTGTAATCCATTAGATGAGGTGTGTTCATTTTGATAACTAGCTGATTTACTTTCCCTAATACTTCTACTAGGTTCAATATTTTGAAGAGTTGGATTAAACGTAGAAGAACTACTAATCTCATTTATTGTACGAGCTTATCATCTTTTTCTCCATCTACAATTTTAGGTTGCATAGCCTTATGTGTTCCTATGTTCTTGTAGAAATGAGCCTCCCTACTTTTCATTATATCCTTATTTGCTTCACCATATAATCTTATACCTTTTAGACTTCTCCAACTATCCTACAAATATACACTTGATTGTTTTTGGTCCTAGCCTATCTCTTTCATACGAGGAATACGAACATAAGTCATGGAGACCCTTATTTTAATATGATCTAGGTCTAGTTCAAAGGGCATTACATTGGTTGGTTTGGAAGGCTGCCATTGGGGCTCTTCCTCGAAAGTGATGCCCTACATTGGCTTCTTGAATTATACAATTAACCCTATTGGGTTCGGATTTATTTTTCCTCTAAGCCATGCCATTTTGTTCAGGGGTATAAGGCAAGGGAGTTTGCTTAATAATCCCATTCTTACTACAAAGTTCTTCGGATTCATAGAAGGTGTATTCTCCTCCTATATCACTTTTAAGAGTTTATTTCTCTCTAATTGATTTTCTATTTCTGATTTTTTTTTGTTAAACTTTTCTGGTGCTTTGTGATTATAGGTTAACAAGTATGTGTGAGGATATCTTGAGTAGTCATCAATTAAAGTACTAAAGTATACCCACCCACCATGGCCCTTCGGTAGTAACTTTCCACATATTTCACTATGAATTATTTCTAATGGATTTTATACTCTCTTTCCCTTCGGAAATTCTTTGCCTTTTAATGTGAATTGCCTTTAATGCAACTCTCACAATTAAAATTGTCGTTTTTTTCGTATGTGAAGATATTTTTTTCAGTAATTTATTTCATTTTACATAGCCTATGTGACCAAGTGTTCCATGTCAAATATTTAAACACCTGACATAATCGAATGGTTACTTCATTTATTTCCAGCTTGTACATATTGCCAGCCAAAGTGGCTTTGCCAACAAAGGTGCCCCGTCTTTCTTAAAGATCATTTTCCCATTTTTCCATGCACTTCATCCCCACTCTTATCAGTACAAGAATTCCAAACAAGGTTTCTCCAAATATCATGCATACAAAATATTTGCAAGGGTGAGAGTGCCATAGGTTAGGAGTGGGAGCTTGATGATGCCTTCACCAAGGATGTCGGTGCTAGTAGTATTCTGCATGTAGAGCTTGTTTGCTCCATCACTCTTCTCCTTGAAGTCCACTATGTCCCTGCATCAAACCACCACTTATCTCGTGACGTGATGATCAAGGACTCCACAACAAAGTTAACGTCCTTTCTCTTTCTACTTTGTTCAACATCTTTCGTAAGTGCTCCACAAGACTTGGCCAAATGACCATGCTTATCATGATTAAAGCATTCAATATATTTCATTGGAATTTTTTTTGTTTCTTGTCTTGTATATCATCATTATAGGGTTTCATATCTCTTCTCATAGCTTGTATCTGAGAGGCTTGGCTGTGATCCCCTTTTTTTTTCTCTCCCTAATCCTATCATTTTCTTCCATCATCATTATAGGGTCATCCAAGGTGTGGATAGTTCCATTACATAGTTTTTTTTATTAGTTCTTCCGTGAATTAGGGTGCTTCCAATAATTTTCATGATTTATTGTTGTTTACTTACGGGTTCACCATATTTGGCCAATAGATTGACCTTCACATTCATGCATCAAAGTACTCAATCATCAATTGATTCTCTCTCATTTGTTCTTGTTTTATATCTCATACAACTTACATTTTGCCGTATAATTGTCATCAATGTGCCTCTCTTCTATAGCATTCCATAAATCCTCACTTCCTCAGCATTTTCATAGAGTTGAAATATTTAAGAATCCTATCACTCAAGAAGTTACATTTTGGCATATAATTGTCGTCAAATGTGCCTCTCTTCTATAGCATTCCATAAATCCTCACTTCCTCAGCATTTTCATAGAGTTGAAATATTTAAGAAGCCCATCATTCGAGAAATTATGGATTGCATCTTTACAAGTAAAATTATCATTCTTCCACTTAGTATATCTTTATCTCTCTCTCTCTCTCTCTCTCTAAAAGTAGATTCATCATCAGGTTTGGGTGGTGTATCTCCTTGAATTACATGATGCTTTTCCACGGATGCGACAAGGAAACTAGCTTACCCTTCCAAACAGAGAAGCTAGACCCTTCAAGATTCTGAATCTTAACCAAATTGGCGCACACACTCTTTGCTTCGGCCATATCAATAAGCTTAAAGATTCTCTGATACCTATTGTTGAATATGACCAAGGCTATGGAAGCTTTGCCGACGAGCAAAAATTGAGCTTAATCCTGAATTTTCAAGCACAAAAATTCCCAAGAATATTATCAACACTACCATACTCTAAACTATGGCCTTCCCCTCCCAACTAAACATGCAAATGAACCAACTATGCTTCCACATTTTCTTGTTTTACCTAGGTCTCATGACATAAATAACATGAAAATTAAGGGGCATGAGCTCACTAAAGAACCGCACCAAACACCCAAAGAAAGCTGAAGAGGTGCGCACAAGCACTGATTGAAGAGCTGAGCAAAATGGTTGTAGCAGCTGTCTCCAAAACTGTATCAACATTTGCCGTGCACAGCAGGTTAGAAAGAGAAATTGACAATAAATGATGTGGCAAACATGAGAAGTGCAGTGATCAGGGTCAGGGTGTTCTTGCAAGGTCTAGAGAACATCCCTTAAATCCAAGCCACATTTGAAATTGGTGACTTTTGCTTTTGTGTGTGTGTGTGTGTGTGTGTGTGTGAGAGAGAGAGAGAGAGAGAGAGAGAGAGAGAGAGAGAGAGAGAGAGAGAGAGAGAGAGTAGTAGTAGTACGTACGTACGTACGTACGTACTACCGTACCGTACTACGTACGTACGTACGTACGTACGTACGTACGTACGTTACGTTACGTTAGTTACGTTAACGTTAACGTTAACGT